GTGACTAGGCTGTTAAGAGCAGAAGGCAAGATGGTGGAAAAATCCCTAGCAGAAGTGACTTTTCTTTGTTTTCATCAAGCACCACCCTATTGCTGTACCCTGGAGCCACAGTAGTATTCACATGAACTTCTTGTGCAGCTTATGAAATATCTGTTGTTCTCCAGTTTTATTATCATTTTTTTAAAGGACATTGTGTTTAGTGATGGGTGAGCTCCCGTAGGCTTAGTTTGGCTTGGAACAGGCAATTTGATACCCAAACACTCTGAGTGTTGGGTTGGAAATGAGTTATTTCCCTTTTCACTCTCCCCTCCCTCGGTGTGTAGAATGAATGCTGCCCTGGTGCCAGGAATCCATAGTAATGACATGTGTCCTGGGGAAATTATCTCTTCCAGGATCCCTGGTGCCTGTAACACTGCCATCATGGTGCTCAGGGTGCCAGGGGAAGGCGGGGAAGGAATTTGTTTGCCATGGACCACTTTTTGCCATGGACCAACCCGATCTTGCTTCTGAAGTTGCTTACAGATTGGAATGCAGTTCTCATTCTGATAATGTACTGTATTTTTTGCTCCATAAGACGCACCTTTTCCCTCCTAAAAAGTAAGGGGAAATGTCTGTGTGTCTTATGGAGCGAATGAAGGCGGGAGGCTCTGCTCCCTTTAAAGAGCCGCATGGAGCGTGCGTACGGCTCTTGGGGGCTTTACCCTGAGGAGGGAGAAGGGCAGCCCATCAGTCCCTTCTTCCACCTCGCGGAAAAGCCCCCAAGAGCCGCACACATGCTCCGTGAGGCTCTTTAAAGGGAGCGTGGCTCTTGGGGGCTTTTCTCCGAGGAGGGAGAAGGGACTGATGGGCTGCTCTCTGTCCCTTCCCACACCTCCCAGAAAAGCCAGCAAGAGCCAGTGCCAGGCTCTGCTCAGCGCTCCCTTGTAAGGGCTCCCTTTCGTCCCTCATCCCGTTTTGCTGAGAAGCCAGCAGAACAAGAGCTGCTGCGCAGCTATCGCTCTTGCTCTGCTGGCTTCTCAGCGAAGCGGGAGGAGGAGCGGAAGGGTTTAAAGCAAGAAAAGCGAGACCCGCTTACATGCTCTGTGCAGAATATATTTTTTCTTGCTTCCCCCCTCTAAAAACTAGGTGTGTCTTATGGAGCAAAAATCCGGTACTTCTTTGGATGGATGCAATGCATTTTAGTGCACAAAAATGCACACCAAAACACATATTTTACATAAAAGATGCATGCAAAATGTGTATGTACATTGCGTGGACAGGCGGAGTCCCCAGATCCCCCGCGGTCCCCCCGTCATGTGGAATAACGACTAGAGACAACGTGCTATGGGATTAAATTGGCCACAACTTTATTAAATTTCAAATGTGGGTAGACCTTGGCTCAGGCATTGGGCGTTCTCCCTCCCCAGTCCCCAGCCAGGGACCTAGGGAGCATCAGGGTTATCCAGTGTGTGGGGGGGGGATGGGCCGGCTCTGGAGAACATATGTTCAAGCAGAGTGGGCAGGTAGTCCCTCCCCTACCTGGCCTGGTCTCCTTGGCAATGCTTCCCCCAGGTGGGATTGGGCAAATGACTGAGGTAGGCGGAGACCTCCAGGTATCCCACCTGAGGGAAGGCAAGGCCAAGCCTATGCTGTTGGAGCCGCTCCAGATCTAGGGGCTGCTCGCGTCCACGCAAAGGGCGTCCCCCCGTTTTAAGCGGGGAGCGGTCATTCCTGGTGAATGTATTGAAAATCCTTGACAAGTTTGCCTAATGGCCTGTAGTCCCAAGTGTTTCCCCTTTAAGGACTGAGGTTCTTAAAAAGTGGGTGGAGCCTATGATCCATAGGCTGGAAGCATAAGCTCTAAATACATTGCTAGAGCAAGTTCTCACTACATGCTGGGGCAACAACATTTGCCCTGCCCACCACGCCCCACTTTCCTTTGGGCTCTGTTGCCAGACCAGAAGAGGACTGTCCAAATTACCAAAAACACAGCAATCAATTCCAAATCTGTAGATGAAGGCTCCGATTCTGTAGATTGATGGATGAAAGACCAGAGGAATCCAATATATAACAGGAAAAAAATCACAGGGACATTACAGATTGGTGGTCCCTTAATCCAGTTCAGAAAATCTTTATCAAGAGTTAATTTGCACGCACGGGTTCAGCAAACCATGCAATACCCAAGTACAATTCAATGATCAAAGAAACCTTGCCAGTGTAAGGTGAGAGAGTTAAGGCTATCTCATGTTGGCTCAAGCTCCACAGTGCTGGGATGTAAGCTATGGTAGATGCCTCAATGAAGTCAGTAATGATGTTGCGCGATGTTACAAAGTTTGCTAGCTCGCAATTTATCCTCCATGCTCCCCATGGTTATTTTGCTGCCTGAGGCAGAGAAGAAAAAGGTAAAGGTAAAGGGCCCCTGACAGCTAAGTCCAGTCGTGGACGACTCTGGGGTTGCAGCGCTCATCTCGCTTTCAGGCCGAGGGAGCCGGTGTTTGTCCACAGATAGTTTTTACGGGTCATGTGGCCAGCATGACTAAGCCACTTCCGGCGAAACCAGAACAGCACATGGAAACGCTGTTTACCTTCCCACTGGGTGGTACCTATTTATCTACTTGCACTGGTGAGCTTTTGAACTGCTAGGTTGGCAGGAGCTGGGACAGAGCAATGGGAGCTCACCCCATCATGGGGATTCGAACCACTGACCTTCCAATTGGCAAGCTCAAGGGCCTCAGTGGTTTAGACCACAGCGCCACTCCTTATTTCAGAATACAGAAGCAGACAGGACTGGCAGTTGTCTTGCATGGGGGATTGTGTGTGTGTCAGGGTGTATGTGTTTGTGGTGTGCTTGTTTTGGAGTGGCGTTGTGTTATGAGCTGGTGAGGGGTTTGCAATGTAGGCTAGAGCCAGTGGCATAGCGTGGGGGGTGCAGGGGGGGGGCGGCCGCACCAAGCGCAACATCTGGGGGGGGGCGCTCACACTCACAGCTCTCTGCCCCTACTAAAATCCACGGGTTAAAGGTAAAGGTAAAGGTACCCCTGCCCGTACGGGCCAGTCTTGCCAGACTCTAGGGTTGTGCGCTCATCTCACTCTATAGGCCGGGAGCCAGTGCTGTCCGCAGACACTTCCGGGTCACGTGGCCAGCGTGACATCGCTGCTCTGGCAAGCCAGTGCAGCACACGGAACACCGTTTACCTTCCCGCTAGTAAGCGGTCCCTATTTATCTACTTGCACCCGAAGGTGCTTTCGAACTGCTAGGTTGGCAGGCGCTGGGACCGAACGACAGGAGCGCACCCCGCCGCAGGGATTCGAACCGCTGACCTTTCGATCGGCAAGTCTTAGGTGCTGAGGCTTTAACCCACAGCGCCACCTGCGTCCCTAAAAAAAAAAATCCACGGGTTAGGGGGCGCAAATTACTTGCCTTGCCCCGGGTGCTGACAACCCACGCTACGCCACTGGCTAGAGCAGCATGTTTGGTGGGGTTTGCCTGGAAGATGCTCAAAGGACTCTGGGGTGTGGTCTTCCAGGACAGTTCCTCAGATTTCCATATGTGCTTATGGGCCAAAAAAAGGTTGGTGAATGCTCATCGAGCTACTTCACACCATACTGTCATAACTAATGTAAAAGTCACTGTACGTAGCTTCCACTAGATGGCTGCCTCAGCAAACACTGAAGTCCTGGTAAATTGTCACTTCAAAATTTAAAATGCGCATGCACAGTAGTTTGCCAAGAGTTGCTGTCTTAGGCTTTATGGGGCAGTAAAATCCTTTTGCACTGCCGCTCAGAACTGGATCAAACACAAACCTTGATCTGAAGTGGGCAGTCTGCAAAGCATCTTGGAATGTGTTGGCCTGTTTTCCAAAGTACCAAATTAGAATCCAAAGTGAATCTTGTGGTCAGTGCATATTTCTTCTAATAGTGTCGTTAAAGAAGCTCTCGGTGTTCTATCATATTCTTTTAAAAAAAACAAAAAAACAGACTTAATAAGGAAAATATAAACAATAATAAGGG